TGGAAGTTCTTGATAACCAGGGTATATCGGGAAGTGGGAAACACGTTCTAGTACATCTAAAATTGAACCATTTAGAGGTTGTCTGTAGATCTCGCTACTTAATTTAAGTAGACAACAATACCCGTGGCCGTCGTCAGCTAAATGGTTTATTTAGAAAAGTTTGTAAATATTCTTCGTGTTTAAGTGGACCACAATACCAGCAATTGACCAGATTTATTCATGAAGGTGAAGGTACTGATAAACAAAGTTAAGACTGTCTCACAACTTTGATCCCAAAAATGTCTTATATTTAGTCAAATATTTTTGTTTTTGTTAAATTTGTTCATAGTTTTCCTCTATGCACAAATTTAGGGGGAAAATTAAAAATATCAAAAATCAACAAAAATCAGAAAATTCAAAAATCAAACAAAAATCAGAAAATTAAAAATCCAAAAATATTTTTGTTTCTGTTTTATTTTTTCAGAAAATATAAAAAATCCAAAAATATTGTGTGCTAAGTTTTCTTTTAGTTTTGTTTTGTCTTGAAAAGTGAATTCAGATGTAGACGAGGCTCATGGAGACTGTATCGAGATTTTCTGAGCCAAGGCTTCGTCCGTGATCATCGAAGAATTCTCATTCGAAGGAGCAAGGAATGAAGACCATTCTTCCAACATTCAATCTTTCAACCCCAGAAGCAAGGTGAAGCTGACTTGAAGATTATGTGACAGACTGCATTGAAGCCTCCTCAATCAATTTGCTGCTATTCTTGAACCTGCTGAAGCCAAGCTCCCGATGAAGATTGACAAGAAAAGCCAGCTACTTTTTAGGGGGGGTTTGTTGGGTCAGTTAGAAAAGAAAGCTATAAACCAAGGGGGAGATTGTTGGGTCTAAAATTATGGTTTATACTTTGCTTTTCTAGACAACTGTATTTTTCTGTAGTGTAATATGTGTTTGCGGCTGTGTTCACGGCCAGGTTGGTGTGTACGGCCGTAAACTCGTTCATGGCCGTGAACCCGTGTTCGGCCCATGTTTCCTATATATATATATATATATATATATATATATATATATATATATATGTGTGTGTGTGTGTGTGTGTGTGTGTAAGGGGTGAGGAGTGGTTAATGAACAAGAGGAGTGTACGACCAAGAGAGAGAGAAAGGAGCATAAGTGTGTGAATCTTGTGTAAGGAACTTCATTCTAATCAAATCATACAAGATTCATATTATCATTCTTCTCCTTCTCTTCTATTTTGATCTGGCATCATCCGTTTGATTGGGATTCCACACCATCAAACGGATCTGATTGATACACAAGCAGATTCGAGACTTACAGTGAAGAAGGTGGTTCAAGAAGAAAGCTTTGTCTCCAAGATTCCGGATCCAGCATTTTCTACTCATTTGGCACCACTTTGAGGTATAAAGCTCAAATCTTTGCTCATGTTTCCTCAAGTTCTTAGTTAGGTCTAGATTTCTCCTTTTGACCCAAAGGGTTGGATCTTAGTGAGTATGAGCTACTCCCAAGCTTTCAGGTTGCATTTCCAGGCATGTTTAGGCATCTCAGTTCGTAAAGGTGCAAGCTTTGAGGTTGTTTAGTCCCCATTCCAAAGATAGGATGTAGGAAAGGACATAAGAGGCTCGATTTTTGTCTTTGGGCTTCTTGTAGCCATGCAAGGGCTTAAAGTTGGCAACTTTATAGCCCTAGAGGTCCTAATGGGTTCAAATTTGGGCTTTGAGCGTACAATCTTAGTGCATTAAGTCATTGCATGAATTGTTTCATGGGTGGCGCGTACGCCGCACATACGTCCTTGTACGCCGTGTGCATTGCTTCCGGTCGAGTTACGTCATGCGTACCAGTGCGTATGCCCGACATACGGCCCATACAGCTTGTAGTTTTGGACTTTAGTCTTTAGGCCTTATATGGGTTTTGGGCTTTGACCTAGTCTAAGTGCATGGGCCTTCGGGTTCCGTTTTGGACCTTAAATGGATTAGTTGGGCCTTAGGGCTATCTTTATTTTTTCGAGCCACGAATGGTTAGGCCCAATATGAGAATCGCTTATGGACCTATAACATAGGAGTTTGGACTCGGGCTTGGGTCCACGATTATGGGCTAAGACGCAATTTTGACTTGGGTTATTTGTTAGATAGCGTGAAGATTCTTCTATACCGCAGCCCAAGCATTTACTAGGGATTCCAACAGTTGAGGCGAGTCTTCTCACTATAACCATGGGTCTAAGGCACCAAGGTCAGCCCATTGTCTGTTTATGTAATATGCTAACTATTGAATGGTATATGTTGTGATTGGGTTGAAATACACCCCAGGGCGGGGCCCAATATGTTATGTCAGGTTGAAATATACCCCAGGGCGGGGCCCATTGTGATATGTTGGGTTGAAATATACCCCAGGGTGGGGGCCCATAATTGTGTTGGGTTGGTAATGAACCCCAAGGTTGGGACCATTGTATGTTTGGTATGTGTTATTTTGGGAAACTCGCTAAGCATTAACTTACAGTTTGTGTTGTAGTTTCAGGTACTTCTGGTTCTAAAGGGAAGGGCCCGACTTGATGGTTCGACATACACTCTCCACTATTTTCGGCATTCACTGTTATTGAACTCTGATGATTTTATGTGATGATGATTATGTATTGGATTTTTGGTATCAGACTTATGTTTGTAAAACTTAATTAAAAATGAAAAAATTTTACCTGGATTTTGGGCCGTTACACATTGACTCGGATTTTGAAATGTTAGTTCCCAAACCAGGAGATCCTTTAAGATATCTAAGAACATGCAAGGCTAATTTAAAATGAGATACTCTAGGTGAGTGCATGAAGTAACTTAAATAATGAATATGATATGAAATATCAAGTCTTATAATAGAAAGATAAATCAGTTTACCAATTAATTTTTGATATTATGTTACATTAGTAAGTAGTTCATCAGATGAAGTAATACCCTCATTGCTGAAGGTTTGTATCACTCGAATACACTTAAGTATGAATAACAAAGAATAATTAAACAAAGCAAAGATTACTGAAAAATTGAAGAACACGTATAATCACAAAGATGTTTTCATTAAGAAAAAAAAGTTCTCACAAAGAGAACGATGTCACATTAATATTGATAAATATATTAATTAATTAATATGGATAAATACAACGTATTTATCCATATTAACAAGACTTGCATACGTTTGGATCAAAACATGATTTTAAATTTTGTTTTTCAAGTTTGATTTCTAAAATGGAGGTTTCCAAATTGAACCAACCATCAACTAAACTATGCGTAGATCTTATATATTTTCGTATTATGAACTTAAAAATACATTTTACGATGATCTGAAAATTATCAGATCGATACGAAACCATTATTTTTATGAAAATGTATATATTAATTAATCAATTCCAATTTTGGTTTTGGTTAAAATATTTATGTCTAAACAAAACCGAAGAGTGAAATTTTCTACCTACCTTACTTTATTTGGTAGTAGTGTATGAAAAGCTAACTAGATGTGTGCTCGTGCAAAACAGCGGCGATAAATAGCTCTTTTGACAGATAGTTTTCTTATGGACAAATAATTATTAGATTTTATTATTAGTTATTATGCAATAAAAATTACCACTTTTAAATAAAATATTTATGTTTATAACTTATATTTTTGTTGTCTGTTTATATATTTGAATTAAATTAATTGTTATCGGTGTCTAGTTTAAAAAATATAAACTAATTTATATAGATGGATTTAATATTCTAAAATTGTTATTTTGCTCCAACTTAAATTTCTTAATAATCTTCCTTAATTTAAGTCTTCAAACTTTTGACAAGTATTAATAATTTATTTATGCATAATTGATTTGTACAAAAAACTTTGTATCTTATACCTCTTAAATTTCAAAATATGATTAAGGGGCTGTTTGGTAGCATATGAATGATTCATATCTGAATGATGTAGAGGCCTGGATGATAAAGAGGATCTTTGTGAATCTGTATTTGAACAATAATTGATGTTTGTTTAGGCATCTGAATGTGTGCCTCTTAACGAAGAAAATGACAATTTTAACCCTCTAAACTAATTTTTACAATACAAACATCATAAAACATCCAAATTAGACATCATACAACATCCAAATTTGTTATATATGGATCTTTCTATCACGATATAACAATTTTATAATAATATCTCACAATAGATTGGTTCAAACCTATGGAGACACCAAATCCCCCGATACTTCACCATTTTGTGCACCCGATAGGGTACAAATTAACCAGAAGAAATATGTGATTCAACAAGAAAGTAAACGTCGTATGATCATCTTCAAATTATCAACAAAATTGTTTAAGCATTTGAGGAGCTAGTTTGGGCAACACAATTTATTAGAGATATAAATTTTGGGTTAGTACTTACCTTGGAAATTTGATATTTTGGAATGAAGGACAACACTCTCTTCCTAATTATGATCGGAGCCCCCAATCGAAAATCATGTACTTGATGGAGGTTCTAATTAATCAAAAAAAACTCAAATTGATAGCAAAATCGCTGGGAGATTTACCAGAGGTGTCACCGATGAAGGGAGCAGGGAAAGTCGATGGCGGGAGAAGGGGGAGACAAAATCGTTGGCGAAGGTAGGAGATGAATGTGGAGTCGTGATGTGTGTTGGTCAAGAGAGAAGAGAACAACGTTGTTTTTTTTCAGCGTGTATGAAGAAGGGAGAAAGGGGCAAACGAGGAAAATTTCTCATTCAGATACTATGACATGTATTAATCGCTCAGAGCCAAAAAGTCATGGGGTTCATTACCAACCCAACACAATTATGGCTGAATCACCCAGATTCAGCAGCCCGTAATATGTTTTATAATAGAGTATAAGATTTGTTTTTATAAAAGATTACAAAAGGGGTAATTATATTACATGATAAAAGTTGAAAGGACAACTATGATACATAATAAAAGTTAAAGGGAGTGATGTGAAAATAATACCCGCTTTGTCATTCGGTCGCATTACGTCATACCTGTATGCTTGCAGCGCAAATAAGTCTCCTAACCCCCAAAATCCAATTTAGGGTTTATCGATATTAAAGAGCATTCAACATCATGATTCGATCTTCTTCACGTTTTTTGTACAAATTACGCACTCAGTGTAGATCCTCTTCGTCTGTTCCCTTATGCCGAACACCGCTCTCGTCACCGATCACTGGCACCGCCGTTCGGCGGTTCACAGCCGATGTGGCGACAGGAAATAAAAGAGAAACTGGTCTGCATATAAAAAACAAGTGATTTATGTTTCTGCATTGATATATAAATCATTATTGTTATTGTTTCAGGAAATTTCAGCTCTTTAGTTTCTCTGAGGTCAAGGTTTCAAGTGTCTAAGATTAATGGAGGTAGCAACGCGAGTGTTTCTGATTCGAGATCGTTTGCATCAAGAGCTTCACGATCAACAAGTGAGAAAGCCTCAGAGGTTGGATTTTGTATTTTGTTACTAAGCTGAATTTCTTACAGAATTCTTTTTTTTTTTTGGGTATTTGTATGCCAACAATCCGACATTCTTGTCCTTAGGTAAAACATAATATCTAAAAGAGAGATTTATAACTTAGTCTGGCTGTGAAGTGAACAATTTTTGGTTTGCTACTCTGGATAAATCTATATCAGAAACGTTTATAGCTCAAATTGCCATGAATCCTCATTAGTCATCAGGATATACCTTTTTATCAAAATGAATATGCAAAAGATTTTGTGTGAAATGTGAAGAAACTTATCATGTAGCTTAATTTACATGTTTTATTGAACATATGATTGATGAAAACTATAAACATTTGAAATTAAACTTTTCTTTTTACTTTTCCTCTTACTTTATAGAGCAGGAAAGATGTAACAACAGTTGAAGATCCATTTGATGCTCCCACTTACAATATACCAGAGAAGCCAATGACATTTACAGAGGGAGCTTCATATAGTGTTGTTATCTTGGTAGGGCTTGGAATAGCTGCTGCAGCAGGATATGGTGTTTTCAAAGAACTTATATTTGAACCAAAAGAGTAAGTTGCTTTTTCTTTTTTACTTAATCTGGCAAGCTATCTTTTTATAATTTATAATTTTTTATATTTACATAACTTTATGGATTTGTGTTTTTCTTTGTAGGTACAAAGTTTTTAACAAGGCTCTGCGCAGGATTCAAGATGACAGTCAGGTTTTTTTCATTGTCATAATATAAATGTTGATAATTGTAATGATAACAATAATAATAACAATGATGATAATAATTATAATAAACTCAACATTCTATGAAGCCAAAAATGATCCTCCATGATTACATATATTATTGGGTTAAATGCAAGAAAAAGCAATGCACTTCCATTTATTTGCATAATAACATCATACATTTTTTTATTATTATAGAATTGTACAATGGAAAATCTAATCCGACTATAGCATCATACTTACAATATGTCAATATTTTTATTATTAGGATGTTATACTTTAAAACATAGGGTTTTATGCAGAAAATTCCCATTTTTTTGGGAAAGTTTTTGATAAAGTCCTAATGTTTTTTAAGAGAAAAGTCCCGATTATTTAAAATTACACGATAATCTGTCATTTCTTGATAAAACAAAAATAAGGACTTTTTCGTTAATCTTGGCAAAATATTAAACATCGGGACTTTTCTGTTCACAAAAAAAAATTAGGACTTCATAAAAAAATTTCCCAAAAATAACGGGATTTTTCTGCATAAAACCCTAAAACATATATCCAAAGAAAATTTCTTTGTATTTTGATATTGCTATAATAGGATAGATTTTATAAAGTAGAAAGCTTTAACAAAAATAAATGAAAGTAGGATGCTATAAACAAATCAAACAAAGTGTAGTGATAATGAAGAAGAGTAAAAATTACACTTTTGGTCCCTATGCTATACCAATTCTTTTTGATACGGTCCAAAAAGCAATCTTTTAACTTTTTATCCATTCTTAACGTTTTTAGTCCCTTAAACGTCTAAGTTATCACACAATTTTGTTAAATATTTATTTAAATGACCATCTTGTCCTCACTTATTTATTTTCACATCTACCAGGTTAGAGTGAGAATTGGCTCACCGATTACCGGATATGGTCAGGAAAGTAGAAACCGAGCAGCTCGCCAACGAATCCCTAATAGAGTTTGGAAGGATGAAGATGGTGTTGAGCATGTTGAGGTTAGTTCTATCTATTATGGTTAAATTCAAGAAATGAAAGTATGTTGCTATTTTCAACCATTTTGTTAATCGGTGGTTTTAGGTTAATTTTTATATCCGGGGCCCACATGGAGCTGGGAAGGTTTTCACGGAGATGTTTAAAGACAAAGAGGACAAGCAGTGGAAGTTCATGTATTTACAAGTTGAGATCCACTCACCTTCCCAATCAAGAATGTTGCTTGAATCTTATATTCCCGCTTGATTAATCTTTTCAATCTCCAAGATCTATAAGGTATCCTCATGCCCCTTTTCGTAATTTTTCCAAAAAATTGCAATTCTTTGTCCCATTCACATCTCCCAAGTAGTTTTGTGATTTTGTCCTTGTTATTGTCATTGTCACCGCCATTGTTAATGATGTCGTTGTCACTTATTGTCATCATATGTCATTGTCACTGATGTCATTGTCACTGGCACTGTCTTATTGCTGTCAGATGTCATTATCACTGTCACTGTCTTATTGCCGTCAGATGTCATTGTCTTTGTCACTGTCTTATTGTCGTCAGATGTCAAGTCATTGTTACTGTCATTGTCTAAAGTCATTGTCACTGTCTGATGTGTCATTGTCATGTCACTGTCTGATGTCATTGTCATGTCACTGATGTCATTGTCACTGTCTTGTCATTGTCACTACCGTCTGATGTCATTGTCACTACCGTCTGATGTCATTGTCACTATCATTGTCACTATCACTGTCTCTATCACTGTCTGATGTCATTGTTATCACTGTCTGATGTCATTGAATTGGAATTAGAAATTGAAATTTGTCCTATAGACATTAGTTCATGTCAAAATGCAATACAACATCATCTGTTATGTCATGTCATGTCATATCAGTGTTACATAAATGGCCTAAAGCATATGATCTATGATAAAGGTTCTTTGTGTTTTATGCAGGCAAATGGATTTTGCTAATATGCAAACACAACTTGATGAACTCATATAAAGCCCAAGACAAGCTCCTTGTGTGTTTCCATGACTTTTGTTCTCAATAGATCTTTGTTACAACTTCATCCCCTTTTTTCCTCCATAGTGAAATGGTGGTTTAGTCACTAATTCATATAGTAGGATGAATAAACTTGTTTGATTATTTGTGAAAGTAAGCCATGAAATTTTGAAGGGATGTGATCATTTGCCCAAAATCAAATACCTTGTTTTTCCAATTCGATTTGAGGTGTATTTTTTTTTTATTTTTTTTTTTACATTTATAATGAGAGTGTGAAGAGGAAGTGGATGAAGTTGAACATGAATAGAATTAAGCCCATATAATAGAAAAATATCAAGAAGAAACGTACAAGCAACTATTTGAACATGTTTTAAACTTCTTGTGGGTATACTTTGTAAAGACTTAGTAATTATTCAACAATGAACATATTTTGTTTCGACTTGAAGTAATTATTGAAATTATTGAACACTTGTGGTTAAAATTTATAAAGACTTGAAGTAGTTATTAAAATGTAGCAAGGGCAGGCCCTCTGCAACAAAGGGGGGAGGGGGCTACTTTGCCGACTATGCCTCTAAGCTTGAAATCACTCCTTTGAAAACTAAAACGTTTCTAGTCTTCCATATGCTTCATAAAACTGAATATAAGAGGGTCCATAGCAATCTTTTCCTTTTCTTATTCAACACCAAGGTCTTTACTACCCCCAACATGCCAGAAACATCCATAGGAGTAGATTTCAATAACATCCACCAGTTACAAAACCTTTTTTGCGAAACTACACTTAAAAAACAGATGCTCGACATCTCCCTGTTCAATACCACACCACAGAACGGGCAAAGAGATGATGGCAAAGTCACACCTCTAACAAGGTTGTCGGCAACTGAGATCCTGTTTAAACATAAACGCCAAACAAAACAATTCACTTTTAGAGGAGCACAACCCTCCCAATGAAAAACTTTTTTTGCGAAACTACACTTAAAAAACAGATGCTCGACATCTTCCTGTTCAATATCACACCACAGAGCGGGCAAAGAGATGATGACAAAGTCACACCTCTAACAAGGTTGTCGGCAACTGAGATCATGTTTAAACATAAACGTCAAACAAAACAATTCACTTTTAGAAAAAGCTCAACCCTCCCAATGAAAAGGAAACGTGTCTGAGACCTCTTCCGCAGTAGCCATCAACTTACGCAAATTTTATACTATAAAACCACCCGTCTCGTTACCTTTCCAAACCCACGAATCATCTATGTTTGTCAACACCACACCAGCAACTTTGTTGTTTAAATCTAATAAAATTGCCGCCTCCCTTCCTCTCCTTAGATTTTTTAGACCTCAGTTTTGAATTCTGTTAAGAACCATGCAATTTTTCTGCACTTCAATGCGATAAAGCTCCGAAAAGGCATCTTTCAACACTACACCATCGCACCATTTGTCTTTCCAAAAGTAGGTTCTATTTCCCCCTTCAAAACGCCTCACAAACAAGTCTTCCAAGTTAATTCCCCAACGCTTCATATCTTCATTTAGCTTGGATATAACAAGCCACACTCCCCAGAGACTAGCTTTGGCTAAAGGCTTGCCATCAATGCAAGAGACATTATGTCAAGCTTTAATGCAAGTCGTCCAAAGACTATCCACTTCAAATTTAAGTCTCCACCACTACTTGATTAAAAGAGCCAAATTCAATGACCGGAGACTCCCAATACCAATACCTCCTTTTCTTTTCGGTTTAGTCAAAGTGTTCCATGCTACCCAATTTATCTTCCTTTTATTTTCTTTCTCCCCCTATAAAAACTTTCTCCTAATACTTTCCAAGTTGTTAATTAATTTTTTCGGCGCCTTGAAAAGAGAGAAATAAAATAACGGAAGACTACCCAAAACAGATTTAACAAGGGTAAGCCTTCCCCCAAACGAGAGATTATTGGCTTTCCAATTCGATAATTATTTTTAAATTTATCCACAATTGGCCTCCAGTGTTTTGTTTGGTTGGCAGGTTTCATATTGGCTTCTATCGGGAGCCCAAGATAAGTAAAAGGGAATTTACCGGGCTCACAACAAAGAGTGTTAGCCAATCTACTAACATCCATCTCCTCTATCTCCTCTACACCGATCCCAAGGACTTTGTTTTTGTTGAGATTCACCTCCTTCAACCCTGAAGCAGTATAAAAAACATCTCAAAAGACGATTGAGATTAACAAAGTTCATCTCGGACCAATCCCCGACAAAAGTGACATCATCCGCATAAACTAAGTGAGATAAAATGGACCCCCTATTTGGGAGAGAAACACCTTTATAAATCTATTGCTCACAAGCCTCTTGCATGGTGACACTAAGTCCCTCCATGACAATAATAAAAAGAAAGGGAGAAAGGGGATCCTCTTTCCTTACCCCCTTCCTAATTCCAAACTCTTTTGTGACCGGTCCGTTTACCAAAATTGACGTTCTACCGGAAGAAAGACAACCTTGATCCAACCCCTCCATTTATCGCTAAACTCCATTTGTTCTAATATCGAATCCAAAAAATGTCAATTAAGCGAATCAAAAGCCTTATCAAAATCTACTTTGAATATTAAAGTTTTCTTTTTCACTTTTTTTGTCCAAGTATATAATTCATTTACCACCAACGGTCCGTCAAGAAAGCTCCTCCCTTGGATATACGCCGATTGCTCCGATCCAACTATTTTATTGATTACTTTCTTTAGACGCAACGCAAGAATTTTAGACAAAATTTTGTACATGCACCCAATTAAGTTCACCGGCCTATAGTCTTTTAAATAAAGAGGATCTCTAATTTTAGGAGTAAGTGACATAAAAGACGTATTGCACAGTCTACTAATATCTCCTGCCAATTCAAAATTCTTGATATAATTAAAAATATCATCTTTCAACGTATCCCAACACTCCTTTATTGTTTTAAAAGTAGGTGCTTTGTTGTTCCCACAACACCAAACTGCCTCCTTTATCTCCGAAAGCGAAAAGGGCTAATCAAGCATCTCACGTTCGTCTATTGAAAGTTACTTAAATCTCAAGTTTAAGAACTTAAACACCTCATCTTTAATTTCTGAGGATTTGTGGACCATTCACCATCAATTATAAGCCCATTTATTCTGTTTTTCTTTCTTTTTCCATTTGAAAAAAATTACTGTTTTCATCACCTTCAATGAGAGTGAATCGACTCAATTATTTTTTGCATTTGTTGTCAAATCGTCTTGTCATCAATGAGAGTGAATCTATGTCCCACCTTCCCACGTTTTGGATAAAGACAAGAAAATTGAAATTTTTTTCCCTCTTTAACATCAGATCTTATCTCCATCTAATACTACACATATCAATCGCAATCAAAATAAAGATTCACGCAATCCATTCTCTTTAAGCATTTCTAAAAAATACATCACCCAACATGATTTATATTTAATTTATTATTCAAAAGATTTTTCCCTAAAATAGCATAGGATTAGGATCTTGAGTACTTGACAAACACAAGATTTTCTCAAACTTATAAACTTTTATATTTGTTTATGTAAATGCCCCTCGTTGCTTTGTAGGCAAATCTAACTCAGGCTCAGTTGCACTAATAGGAGAAAAGTACTGATCCACCATGTCTTTTGATACTTGCTCTAAGCTCGGTGGGTCCCACTGCAATTTCAAATTACCCAACATTTTAATTTACATAACATACTTTCAAAATTTTCAATATTTAAAAGCCTATGATATATATATATATATATATATATATATATATATATATATATATATATATATATATATATATATATATATAAGTTTATTTCCAAAGTATGTTCCTCAAAATAGAAATTGACTATTTTGCCCTTCGAGAAACATAATACAAATTGTGGATACCTTTGGCGCATGATCTTTATCCACCATTCGTGCACGAACACCCTGATTAAAATAAAATTTAAAAAAAAAAAAAAAAAAAAAAGTGATAATATATAATACACAAATAAATGAAAGTATGTTGGTATTTGTTGCATTAAGTTGAGTAGATGAAAAACCTCACAAAAATCAGCTGATATTTGACCAGAAATTCCTTGTAAAGTCATTCTGTATTCACGAATTAAGCACTGATCAAGACTCTGAAACCGGCCTTCTCTTATCTGAATACAACATTAAATCAAAAAATTTCAATTTATAAAACTAAACTTTGCAATATAAAATATATTGTCTTTAGGAAAATTTGCCCAATTACAACATTCTACTTTCAAAATTTTTCTTATTAAGACATTGTACTTTGAAAAGTTTATCCAATTATAGCAATGAAAAAAGCTTCTTAATTAAATGATATTGATATAAGTGGTAACTTTCTCAAACTAGAATGTTGTAATAATCATAATTTGGGTTAGTTTATGATTTAATCCTAATTTTGGTCCCTGTCTTACCTAAAAAGACTATTTTACCCTTAATTTTTTAATTTATTTAAATAAACACACCCCCAACCCCACTTCCACCTCACCTTACCTTACCTTACCAATCCCACCTTATTTAAATAAATTGAAAAATCAAGGGCAAAATAGTCTTTTTAGGTAAGACAGGGGCCAAACGCGCAACAAAAACAAACTATAGGGACCTTCCGAGTTAAAAAAATAAGTTAGGGATCAAACGTGCAAATTACCCCAAACCATAGGGACCATTTGTGTAATTTACTCTAAAAAAATAAAGGGAAATTTCCGATAAAGTCCCAATATTTTGGGTCAATTTAGGTTTTAATCCTAATTTTTATTTTATGAACAGAAAAGTCGTGATTATTTTCTATTTTGCCCAAATTAACGAAACAATCCTTATTTTTTTTCAACATAAAATAACAGATTATCGTATACAATTAAATAATCAGGACGTTTCTATTCAAAAAATAAAAATTAGGATTAAATCATAAAACTAACCCAAAATATTCGGACTTTTTTTGGAGATTCCCCTACTATAAATTATTAAAGAAAGTATGTTGTTATTTCTTGTATTATATATATATATATATATATATATATATATATATATATATATATATATACACACACACACACACACACACATATTAAGGAGAGGAAGACTTACTGATCTCAAGGTGACCTTCAAGCTCAATGGTGAGGCATATTTTAGATTCTTCAAGGTGGAATGACACCACTCATCATTAGTTTTAGCAGCTTCATTTTCCTGTCAATTTTTAATAATTGTTATTTATTTATTTATTTAATAAAAATTTCCATCAAAAACATAAGGTGTAAAAGGTTTTAATATTACCAAGGCATCCATGATTTCCTCAACAGTATCATGTTTGAAACATTTGTCAAGCATTTCAATCCTTTTAAAAAAAAAATGATGAAATTTCAAATTATAGCATTGTACTTCTATAAATCTACCAAATTATAAGAAAAATATAAACTACAATGCTATAATTATGTAGAATTTTTTAAGGTATAATGGTGAAATTGAAATTGTAGAAGAATACCTTCGAATAACACTTGAATTATCTGGATAATGAAGATCACTGAAATTTGAAAGAGATGTTTCAATGACAGAAGGATCATCAGTTATCAGATTCCTCAAATGTTCTTCAATTAATGGAACATTCTGTGTGGAAATTGATGATAATAAATATTCATGAAATAAGGGAAAATAATTAGGGCTACATGCAATAAATAGCAATGTACTTGTGAATTATAGCATCATACTTTCACTTGTTTACATTACACATTTACACCATTGTATTTTTTAACTATTTTATTTAACTTATAGCATTGTACTTTCAATTATTATTTTTCTTATTAGAACTTTGTACTTTGAAAAAATTAGGGTTAATAGCATAAAAGACCTTATATTTTGTGTTTTTTCCGGATTAAACCTCAAATTTTAATTTTTGCATGAAAAAGACCCTGTATTTTTTCATTTTTTATGAAAAAGCCCTCAACTTTGTATTATTTTCTGAAAAAAACCCTCAACCTTCTAAATACTTCCAAACAAACCCTCAACCTTTTTAGTTTTTCTCGAAAAAACCCTCACATTTTACAATTTTTTTTGAAAAAAATGACTAAAATGACCAGATCGGAAAAAATGAAAAAACACAAGGTCTTTTTTAGGCAAAAAATAAATTTGAGGTTTAATCTGGAAAAAACACAAAATATAACGTCTTTTTTGAGATTAACCCTTTTTTTTCCGAAAAAACTTGTAAAATGTGAGGATTTTTTAGAAAAAAAACTAGAAACAGTTAGAAGGTTGAGGGTTTTTTTCGGAAAAAAAAAATACAAAGTTAGAGCTTTTTTTAGGAAAAAAAAGGTTCTTTTTCACGAAAAAAAATAAAATAAAGTTGAGGTTTAATCCGAAAAAAAAACACAAAATATAAGGTCTTCTACGAGACTAACCCAAAAAATTAACCAAATATAGCAGTAAATCAGTAATATTTAGTTTGTATTATTGCTATAATTGGGTTGATTTTTCAAAATTCCAATGTTGTAATTGGAAGATATAACAAATTGATGCTACAAATACAATAAAACAAATCCATGAAAATAACATTTGCTATTTCTTGCATTTACCAAAAATAATTATATCAAAAATAGAAGTCACAAAAAAACAAACTGTGCTTTGTGAATAGTGAGTAGCAAGTCCACATGCAAGCATTTCTACTCCATTTAGCCTAGCACCAGTTAAAGCCAAATATTCCCCTACATTCAATTTTCATTTTACAATTATTATTATAATCCAATTATTATGTCAGATAAAACAAAACAGGTTGTACTGCTTTTGACATACTGTGTGACACACAGGACAAACACTGCAAACTTTTTTGTCCTATCCAAAAAATACAGATGTCAATGAGACAAAAGTTGCAGCTTTTTGTCCTACCCAAAAAGTGGGACATTAACTCTGGTTTTTGTCTGTGCAAAAGACGTAAATGCCCCTCTAGTTTTTTTACTAACATACCTAAATAACCGGGAAGACGGGAAATGTAAAATGAAGCTCCAGCATCGGGATGATAACCAATTAATGTTTCGGGTATTGCAAAAACCTACAGGTGGCACCTAACTAATTAATTAATTCTTTTAAGTGAAAACACACACACACACACATACATACAAACACATGAAGCATAGAATACAAAATGAAGACAAAATTTCACAAATGGTCCTTTTGCTTTTCAATTTTCCCTAAAATAGTCCTTATTAAACCTTTTTTTTGCATGGATGGTCCCTTTGGAGCAAACCTTGCACACAAATGGTCCTTATGACTAACTTTGTTAACAGGTTCTGTTAAGTGTTTGTGAATTGACGAAAATACCCTTTGTTTTTTGCACACAAATGGTGTGCAATGTTTGCTCCAAAGGGACCATCCATGCAAAATAAGGTTTCATAAGGACTATTTTAGGGAAAATTGAAAAGCAAAAGGACCATTTGTGAAACTTTGTCTAATATGAATATGCTTACAGTTTTATCAGTAGCAACTCTGAATGTTCCTGGAATGGAAATTCCACCTGCTCCACCCATGGTATATCCATCCAAGATAGCCACCTACATCATCAGTGCACAAGCATAAAATGAGCATATAAGGGTATATTTGGAAAACTTGTGGAAAAACCCCCATGAGCTTATCATGAGTAAATTGACTAATTTACTATTCTGTCTAGAAGTGATGCTGGATAAAGATTAATATTAATTGAAAAGAGTAACAAACTAAAACACTTTTGAAATAAAATAATGGTGTACTTACATTTGGCTTTAAATATGTACCTAAAACGTATATAAAATTATATAAATTCCGAAAGAATTCCTTGCATTCTTCCATATTTCCTGCAAATATGTAAACTTGGGTTCACATTGATGCCAATATGATAAAAACATGCAATAGAAAAAAAAATATATATATGAATATACTATAGAAACTGAAAAAAAGTAATTTCTTTTTACACCTTTTTGCACAAAATCACGGATGGCAACAATATCACCACCTGCAGAAAAAGCTCTGTTGCCACTACCCTACAAACAAAATCAAGATGTTATGAAAGAGTTCTTTATGGGAAAATCAAGAAAACTATTAAAGAAAGAAAGAGAAAAGTGAAATTAAAAAGTTGGAATTAGTTAGTAGATGTAGAATTACCTTCATTACCACAAAACCTATATCAGGGGTATCTTCCCAGTTTTTATAAAGTTTATGTAACCTGTATGCCTGAAAATCACCAGTATTGATAACACAAAGTCGTTATAGGAGTTGAAACTAAAGAGATGTAAGTAGTAAACTTCATAAAGAAACTAAAAAAGAAATGAGAGAAGGTTAAAGTAGCATTATTGCATCAAAACACATGATAAAAAACTGATAGTGCTTTCAAAATTTGAGATGCTATTTGGTGGAAGATGTAAAATGGACTGACTTTTTATCTCAAAACAGATGGAAGTTAAGTTACCTACTTGGCTTTTGTAAAGAGAAATCGATACTTAATCAAGAATTCATAACAAAATTGAAGATAAAAGTACTATAAAACTGATGGTTTTGATGACATCTAGCAAATTTCCTATCAATTTAAAGATAAATTTACTAGTTAATCCCCTTAATCCCCTCTCCCTCCCCCGGATTCGACAGAATTTAGCCTAATCGCCGATACAAGGGCACAATAATCTCAAAAAAAATTGAATACACAGAGAAAGTAATCATTTATCAAACCACGGCAGAGTTGAGCGCATTGAGGAAGGAGGGTCTGTTGAGAACTACGGTTCTCGAACTCGCATTGCCTTCCACTAATACCTGTAAAACCATCAAATTCCACCAAAAATTCGATCAACATCATTTTATCAAGTGGATGTGTGCGTGATAACTCGATTAAAGTCGAACTCACAACAGAATCAGGATCACCGGTGAGCGAATGATCGAAGAGAGAGCTGTTAGTGCTAGTACTAAGGCTTGTCGCTCTTCGTTTGAATTCATCGAGGAAAACTCGAGAGCATTGAAGAATGCCACGTTGCCTTTTCGCTAAGCTCTGCATCTCTGCGTGTGTGTAAAAATGGAGGATTTGAATCGGCAGTGATTATTTGGTTTCATCGCCCAAAAGAGTCTGTGAGGTTTTGATGAAAAATAGTTCACGGAAAGGGCAAAATCACAAAAAACACGACACCATGACTCCACGAGTTTATCCCTTTAATCATTCTAATTATTTTCGATAATAAATAAAATATGAGAAAATCACAAAAATGGTTACATAAGAAATGGTTTTTATGAAAGTTATAGGTCTAAAGTATAAACCATCAAATGAAATGATAACGATGGTTTCATATACTTATAACAAATCAATGTAAAAGATTTATGTTTTACAAAATATGTGGTTAGAAACATTACTCAAAGAAAATTAAAGAGTAAATTACACGAATCGTAAATGCACGTTCAGTCCCTATATACAAAAATTAACTTGGACCGTCCCTAAATAATCATTTTTTTCACTCTAGCCATCCCTACTGATATAAAATGACTATTTTGCCCTTAATAATTTCATTTTCAATTTTATTTTGGGTAAATTACACCAATCGTCCCTCGTGCACATGCCAGAAAGCGTGTTTAGTCCCTATTTTCCAAAATTAATTCGGACCGTCCCTCATTTGTTTAAAATTTGCATGCTTCGTCCCTGATATGCGATTTTGTTGCAATTTTAGTCCATGTCAGATTTGAAATGACCATAATACCCTTTATGTATTTTTTCCAATTAATTTAATGTTATTATTTTATTTTTAATTAAAAAAAATATAGCCCACCCACCCCCACCGCCAACCCTGCCTCCTTCACTACCATGAAACAGAACCTTTTAGTCACACTTCACCGGCGATTTCAAAAACTAGCAACTCCGACCAGATGCAAGAATTACTTTTTGAAAATCATTTTCACAAATCTAAACCCAGATCTCCAAATCTAAAACCAAAATACTCGGAATTTGAAGATAGAACAAATTCTATTTTGAAATTCGTTTAACAAATCGTTTGAACAAAATCCCCAAAAATCGTTTTTTTTTATGTTCTTAAGTTCCAGAATTCTTAAGTAGATGTTAAAACTCTATACTCCTCCCTTGTCAGTCAAAAAATTGTTAGTAAATCTTGAAAACCTCACTTTGGCCATATGCAGAAATCATGGTCGGTGTTGTTCATTGTTTTTTCCACAAATCATGGTGGTTGGTTGTCAATGGTGTTCTGAAAGAAGATAGGGCGAAAGTAGGTAGTCCGGTAATGATCTAGATGACATGAGAGAAGAGAGACACAGAGAAAAGAGACACAGAGTAAGTGGTGGACCAGATCATCATAATCTTAGAGAAATTGAGTTGGTTTATGGAGGAGATGAAGGCGGTTTCCGACGGAGTTATGATTTCTAGTGCGACATCACTAAGGTTGACAGGTGCTCGTCGGAAACAATCGCCATTTTACACTCCCACCACCCATTACCTCCACCCTTACCTCACCTCACCCGATCCGCTCTCCTCTTCCTTCATCTGATCTTACTCCTATCATCATCTCCGACCACCCCAAATTGCACCTTTCATCTCCGGTTTCCAAATCTGAAACCTGTAACTCAAATGGTTCCATTTCCAAATCTGAAATTGGAGAGACACAAGTATGAGATCAGAATAGGGGGAACATGAGAAGAGAGTAAAATAGAGATTGAACTTGGCCGGTGTCTTGCAGTCGATCTCCTCTGTATGAAACCGGAGATGTCCAGGAGTTTCTGAAGGAGTTGCCAGATTGAAGTCGGTCGTTGTAAGTGGTGACGGTGGATATGAGACGTACTGAAGAAGAAGAATGGGAGGCGGAGACGAGTAATTAAATTAATTGGCCCATTTCTTTTTTTAAATGCAATAATATTTATTTTGTATAATAAAGAAATCAATAAATAATTAATAAATAACAAGTAAATAGAAAATAAATCAAAAAATAAATAAATAAGAGTAAAATGGTATTTTTATGTGCGGAGGGACTAACCAAGCAAGAAAAAACAAAACAAAGGACGGTCCGAGTTAATTTTTGAAAATAGAGACTAAACACGCTTTCTGGTTTGTACACGAGGGACGATCGGTGTAATTTACCCTTTTATTTTATTTATTTATCATTTTTTAAATTAAAAAAATAAAATAAAATAAAATATTCAACCCACCCACCTCTTCCATTCCTTTCCCTAGATTCAGATCTCTCGTTCTCACCCTTTCATCTTCTTCTCCACCGATCAAACAACCTCCCTCTCCTCTATCTCTCTGTTATGTATTTTCGGCGACCTTGAACCACTCACTACCAACGCCTAATCTGTTCGTCGGCAGCCCTGAAGTCACCTCCGGCCACCATCTGATTCCGAATTTTGATCTGGAAACCTTCACCATCTTAACTCGAAGTTATCTGAGACACTCATGTCAGAATCGGATTTGCAGGTTCCTTTTGCATCATTGCCTCCAATCTCTTTCTCGATTTCATACCGGAGATGATGGCTTCAATATATTTGAAGGTTTTGGTTTCAGAAAAATCCTAAATCGATCCCCGCTGGAATTGAATCAATAAAAATCCCAAAAGTCGATGGTTTTTGATGCTTTAATTGAGTTTCCAGCACACCGTAGACGAAAGAGAACATCCCTAATTTTGTTACCGGTACTTCAATAGGATTTCCAGAAGTTGATGCTTCAATAGGGTTTCAGAACTTGATGATTTATATGGAAGAAATCTGATCTGTTATTAACGCTGCATTATCTAGATCTGAGTGTAGGTGTCAACTGGTGGTGACAAGTGGTGTATAGCTTGATTGTGTCGACTGTTACGCGGATGGTGATAAACACGGTACAACAGGTGAGGTTAGAGGGCGAGGGGTGACAGTGGTGCTCCATTTTCTAGTGGTGGTGTAGACTACCGGTTGTGGTGGTGGTTAAGTGTGATGGTTTCAACAGATTTGAAGGTTCTGGTTCTGATCTGATTTTCATATTTGAGTTTAAGGTTTGATTTCCAGGTTTTGTTTTGATTTGATTTATTTGAGATTTAAATTTCATTCAGATTTGACGTCGATGGTTATTTGTGGTGGTTTACTAGTGGTTAGTGATAGTGGTTGCTAGAGGTGGACAGGAATGCTGACTGGTGGTTGAATTCAGGTGCTGGTTTTTCATATTTCCCGTGGTGGTGGTGGTGGTGGTGATTAAGTGGTGGTGGTGATTAAGTGTTCTTCACGAGAGAGAGAGAGAGAAATTTCCTGTAAATGATTAAAAGATTTTTTTTAATAAATAACAATAATTAGAAATGTGAAAAATAAATGAAAAAGAAATTGAAAAGGGCATTATAGTCATTATATGTCTCATAAAGGATGAAACATACAGATTTAAACTAAAGAGGGATGAATCGTGAAACTTTTTACGATTTGAGGGACGGTTCGAGTTAATTTTTGAAAATAGGGACTGAACGTGCACTTTAACACTTGTACGAGGGACTAATCGTGTAATTTACTCAAAATTAAAATAACTCTTTATGAAATTGGGGAAAGTAGAAGACCTATAAGTTATTTTATAGTTTGAATTCAATATTATTATAAAGCTTATCTTATTATTATAAGGTTTCGTTACCAAAATTATGACTTAAAGCATTGAGGATGATCGTTTTAGATTTGAATTATTGAATATTGGTGAATCAAGGTATGATGAGTTTTTTTTTTAGAATATATTTATGATTCAATGATATGGATAAGACCATACGGTATACTCTCAACGAGAGCATCCGTGGTCACACACGAGAAAAATCCGTGCACACCACCCCGGCAAATCGTGGTCGGGCGTGGTCGTTGTGCCTCGTGTTGCCGACGACGATTTTAAACGCGGAAATTGATTTGTGATTGCTTTCTCGACCGTTGAACGGCAATTTGACCTTTTTTTTTCAAACTCAATTCAATACATATAAATAAAATCTTCTATTTTCACCAAAACTTACACCTTCATTCTCTAAAACAACAAAACACATGCACATGGATTCCACAAAACACATGAAATTCTTAAAAACTTTTGACTCGGATGACGAAGTAGAATTCGTCGAGACATTCTTCAACGTTGTGCAACACATTCACGACGAAGAAAGTTCGAATGTTGCTCGTACAATGACGGTCGTCAATCGTGATCGCCAAACCGCACACGACTTATGAGTACGTGATTACTTTGCCGATAATTGTCTTTATAATGACGACTCGTTCGAACGTCGTTTCCGTCTGAATAAGGCTGTGTTTTTACGTATTAGTAATGCTTTAGAATCTCGTTATGATTTTTTCAAACAAAAACCCGACGCTAGAGGAAGAATGAGTTTTAGTAGTATACAAAAATGTGCGGCTGCTCTTAGGTATTTGGGATACGGTATAGCATTTGATGCATCTGACGAATACTTGAAAGTATCCGAGAGGACCGCAGTTGAATGTGTAGATTGGTTTTCTGCATGTGTGTTTTTCTGCATGTGTGTATGAGGTTTTTCAAGAACAATATTTGCGCAAACCTACTCAACGTGATATTGAGAGATTATATTCGGCTCATGAAGAGAGGCATGGATTTCCGAGTATGCTTGGCAGTCTAGATTGTACGCATGTGGCTTGGGAAAAATGTTCAAATGCATGGCATGGCCAGTTCACTCGAGGAGATATAGGCGAACAACCTATCATCCTAGAAGCTGTTGCATCTCAAGATTTGTGGATATGGCATGCCTTTTTCGGAGTAGCGGGGTCTAACAACAACATTAATGTTCTTGGCCAGTCTCTTCTTTTCAACGATATTTGGACCGACAAAGTACCTGATATGACGTACAAATACAGTTACTACCTTGGTAATGGGATATACCTGGATTATTCTACATTGACGAAGGCATACTCGGTTCCTCGAAGTGAAAAGGCAAAGTTGTTTGCAAAAAAACAGGAATCGGCGAGAAAAGATATCGAGAGGGCATTTGGAGTGCTTAATCAGACATGACATGTAGTGAAATATGCACACGACTCTGGGATAAAGAAAGAATTAAACGAATAGTCCTAGCATGTATTATAATGCATAATATGATTATTGAAGATGAAGGTCGAGCGATTTGCATGTATGATCCGAACGACGTTGTCATTCCAATTGATGATTTCGTACCAGGAACGAATGAGTTTTTAGAGCGAG